ATCTTTACCTTCAGAAGTTGGTAATCCATCATCAGCAAAATTTGATACTCTCTGTCTATCTTTGACTTTGAGTTGTGAACTCACTGTTTTTGGGTCGATAATCTGTTTTATGGCCTATGCAAGATGCCTTCTTTGTTAGAATCAGAGGTCATATTCCCTCAATTTTATTCGCCGTCAAGAGTCTGTCATGTGAAGTCGATGACTCGTTTCCCCAGTAGCGTATAATCCATGTCCCTGTGTTTTGTTGGTGTTTGATTTCTCCAGCATTACCTTGTTTCATACAATGTCTTCCTCTGTGAATTCAATCATTACATTCATATCAAGCATAATGGCGGTATCTTAGGGCAAAATTTGCGTATTATGTATTTAAGTACCTTCAATCTCGTCGAGACGAAGATTTTAATCTTCATATCTCCGGATAGAAGAAACTTAAATAGGGGCAGCTGTTGTACCCCAAATTTTGACCTAAGATACCATCTCCCATCTGCATCATTACATTGCAAGCGTTTTGATCTATTGATTTTAAAAAATTCATAACTTTTTCAAGTCGAGAGCTGTTTATTTTTGAACGCTAAGTTTATTAATTGATCAGACAATGTTTATTAATTATTTATTATCTTAAATTTAAATAATTGGAATTTATTTTCAGTTATTATATAATTTAAAGATTTATAAATAATAAAGTAAATATTTGAAAAGAGGTATATTAATTGATCAGACAATGTTTATTAATTATTTATTATCTTAAATTTAAATAATTGGAATTTTCTTTTCAGTTATTATATAATTTAAATATTTATAAATAATAAAATAAATATTTGAAAAGAAGTTTGTTATTTGATCAATGATGTTTATTTAATTATTTATCATTCTAAATTTAAATAATTGGAATTGATTTTCAGTTATTATATAAATTAAAGAGTTATAAATAATGAAGTAAATAATTGAAGAAAAGTTAATTGATCAATGAGGTTTATTTAATTATTTATCATTCTAAATTTAAATAATTGAAACTGGTTTTCAGTTATTATATAACTTAAAGAATTATAAACGATAAATAAACAATTGGAAAAAAGAAAAAGAATTAATTGGTAAATAATAGAATTTTTATTCATCTTTATTCTAATTATTACAATTGTTGTTTAAATACTATTGTACAAAGTATTTATAATGACAATTACATAAAAAGTTTAAAGTAAAATAAAAACTATTCTAAGTTTTCCTAAATTCTAAATCTTCATCTTCTATCCAATGCTTCTTTGTTTGCTCATTTAATTTTACCTGCAAAAATTAAAAGAAAAAGTCAGAAATAAATAGATAATTAAAAGCAGAAAATTAATTTTAGTGTTCATCATTAAAAGCAAACAGCTGGAATCAGTTTTATCCTTTTTGTAAATCACGGGATTTCTCCCAGTTCACAAAAAGGGATGAATTTTTATTGATAAAAATGAATGCACAATTTAAAAACATGCACAAATCATTTTTTGTCAAAATTGCATTTTTCAAAGTAAAACTGCATAATTCAAAACAAATTGCCCACTGCATATTTCAAATATGCATAAATTCAATACTTTGTCAAAACAACATATTTCCAAATCAATATAAAATGCATAATACAAACAGCATATGCATTTTCCACACAAGCAGTCCAACGTAAACCATGCCAAGGTAGGAAGAAGTCAAAACAATAGGCTCCCATGCAGTAGACAAAGAGGGCATGCAGTTTAAACCAAATATGCAAGCATAATATATTTCTATTCTCATCATTTTCCAGCATTGTGCTTTTTCAGAACAAGTAAGTACATATCACATTTTAATGTATCATTTGTACTTAAGAGAGAGAAGAGAGGAAGAGTTGGTTTTTATAGGTTTTGGCTTAGGCAGAAAGAGTTACAAAACAAACTGCAGCATTATATAGTAAGAAAAGATAAGCATGAAAAAAGAATAGAAACAAAACTGATAAAACAGTAGGAAGTGCAGAATATCAAAGAAAAATAATAAAAGTATTTCAAAACCTGTAACGTAAACCTCAAGGAGAAAGGCCAAACTGTTATAACAACAACATAAACCCTTCAAAAATATTCAAGAGTTCACAACCTGTTGGAGACCTCCAAAAAAGAAAATTGTCAAACAAAATACAAACAAAGTTTCAAAGTCTCAAAGTCTCAAAAGCAAAAACCAGTAGAACTTGCTATCTCCAAAACCATCCCAAATCTGCATACACCAGTAAAACCAACATAGCCTAAAAACCATTCCCAAACCTGCATACACCAGTTAAAACCAACATGGCCTAAACCAGCATAAACCATAAAGGCCACAACCTAAAAACCTGTCAAGCCTCACCAAACCAGTAAAGCCTTACAACCAATAACACCTTCAACCTTATACCAAATAACACAACCCATCAACCAATGTCCAAACCCACAAAGGCCTCAGTATTCATCATGGGCCAATAAGAAAGGCAACAGTAAAGAATTCAATCAACCGAAGCAAAGCAAAAGGAAGAGGGAAGCAAGCTAATCAAAACAAATGTTCCAACAGTAGCATGTTCAAGGCAACACAGTAGCATGTTCAAGGCAACACAGTAACATGTTCAAGGAAACACAGTAGCATGTCCAAGGCAACACAGTAAAGCACACAAAGGCTACCAAGAGGAAAAAGCATACAAACGAAGGCCAATAACGAGGCAACAGAATCACAGCAAAAGAAGAAGAGAGAAAAGTATTCAAAGGCAACGGTGAAGCAGACAAAGGCTAGCAAGAGCAAGAAGGGACATAAGAACGAAATACCAGGGCCAAATAGCTAGCGCGCCTCCGCCGTATTCCTTGCCGTCCGGCCGCCGCGTACCCCCCAACCTCCCTCCTCCGTCTCCAGGTAACATTTCTCCCTCTTTTTCTTGTCATTTTTCACCAAATAACCATTAACAAATTTGATGTCAGAAGCAAAGAATGGACACAAAATCATACACATGCAGTAATCAAGAAACCTAACGAAATAAGAAAACGAATTTACCGTAAATCTGTCGCCCTAGCTTTCTCGTTGGAAGGAAGAAGAAGTATTGAGGACGCCGGTGGCCGGGGCAGGAAGACTCAGGCGAGCGAAGAAGAAGAAAGCAAGGCGAAGAAGACGAGCAAATGAACGAGCACCGCTTCTGTCCAAAACCCCTAATCCCTTTTTTCTCCAACTAAACAAGTTTTGTCTAACCCTAAAAACAAGTTATGAGAATTGGGCCATGACCCGTTTCCAGCTTACAAGAACCCAGCGAACTGCTTATCCACCCCCTATCTTGCTTCTGATTATTTTTGATTTTTTGGGCCCCTTTAAAACCCTTAGCCCATACATTTGGTTATTTGTTTACCCCCCTTTGATTCTGGACACATCTCTTTCCATTTATTTTCTTTAGCCCCTTTTTTAGAAGTTTTTTAATTAGTTAATTAGTAATTTAATTAAATAGTAGGTGTAATTTAATTAAAAACAATTTTTTTAATAATTGACTAACTTTATTAGTTTAACTTTTAGGATTTAATTTAATAATTTTAGTATTCCTTTTTTAATTAGATTTAAGTTAATAGCTTTTTTAAGGTTTTAATTTAAGTTTAGAATTATTTAATTTTTAAGTAATATTTTTATACAAAAAACATTTAAAAACAAAATATGTATAAAAAATTAGAAACTTAAAAAACATTTTGTTATTTCCCTCGCTTTAGTTAATACTAATACAAAAATATAAAAAAAAAAGAAATTTTAAGAACTAAAAAACATTTTTATTTTTTTAATTAATTCTCTTGCTTTATCCATATTAAAAAATGCATATAATAAAAAACTTTAAAAAACATTTTATTTAATTAATTCTCTTGCGTTATTAATATTAGATAAAAATCTAAAAAATGTATGTTCACACCATTTAGTCTTTTATTTAATTGTTGTATATCATTATCTGCATAATTTTCTGTCAACTATTTCGTCTTTACTTAATTATTCTGTTTACTTCTTAATCCAAGGGAAAAAATGATTAAATTTGTTAACTTCATGTCCTCAAGTCCAATCACGCGAATATTTTGTATTTCATTAAAACTTAAGACAATTTTCCCCAAATATCCAATCTTTTCAAAACTTATACCTTTTAAGCAAAAACTTCGACATTAGGTCGTCGTATCTTCAAAAACCCGTCCGTACCCCTTTTCGGCCAAAACATTTTATTCTTAAATCAAACGAGCAATTTTAATAAACAGATATTTCAAAAGGTTCCTATAGAGTACTATAGATACATTGGGTGCTAAGACCTTCCCACTGTATAACCAACCCCCGAACCATAGATATCTTTTCAAAACGCCTTGTATTTTTATTACTCTTAAAAGTATTATTTTACATTGCATATTTAGGGTTTTATTTCGCTCTTTCCCCTTTTCCCTTGGAAATAATAAAGCGCGGTGGCGACTCTTGCTTTTGTGAGGCGAATTAATCAATAATTCGATCTCCGATTTACCCCGCTACATTTTTTATCGCTACACTCTTCTAGGTCGTATTGATTGGTTGAAAGGTCTTAAAGAGAATGTTGTTTTAGGGAAATGATACCCGCAGGTATTGGATTCAAAAGAATAATGCATTGTCCACAGTAAAGACAACATAACAAGATTATCCAAAAAAAGTTATCCGAAGTAGAAATTAGAAATCTTTTGTTCCATCACAGAAAATTCTTTGATCTTTATCATTTCAAAGAATTTATGTGATACATTATTAAAAATATAGGATTAAATGCTTCATAAAAGCAGATTCGACTCAACCCCTTAAATCTTTAAATGCAGTGATTTGATTTGGTAATAAAGTAGAATAAAAAATAATAATAAATATAAATACAAGAATGGTTTGATTCTATCTTAACGACCAATCGTCTATAAAAGAGAGGGTTCCACCGGAACAATTATTTATTGCTATTTTAGGATACTGGGTCTCTCTTATTTTTTTTTCAATTTTTATTTATTTAAAAAGTGTGGGGATAAATGACAAAAAAATATTTGAACTTCACTTTTGAAGAGATGATGGAAGCTGGGGTTCATTTTGGCCACGATACTAGGAAATGGAAACTTAGAATGACACCTTTTATATCGGGAAAACATAAAGGTATTCATATTACAAATCTTACTAAAACTGCTCGTTTTTTATTAGAAGCTTGTGATTTGGCTTTTGATGTAGCAAGCAAAGGAAAACATTTTTTATTTAGGAAATGAAATCCTTGAATAACACCTTTTATATCGGGAAAACGTAAAGGTATTCATATTACAAATCTTACTAAAATTGCTCATTTTTTATCAGAAACTTGTGATTTGGCTTTTGATGCAGCAAGCAAAGGAAAACATGTTGGTACCAAAAAAGCAGCTAATTCAGTAACACGGGCTGCAATAAGAGCTCGATGTCATTATGTTATAAAAAATGGCTCAGAGGTATGTTAACAAATTGGTATAGTACAAAAATGAGACTTCGTAAGTTCAGGGACTTGAGAACGGAGCAAAAGAAGGGGAAACTGAACTCTCTTCCAAAAAGAGATGGCACTATGTTAAAGAGATAATTATCTCATTTATAAACATATCTAGGCGGTATAAAATATATGACAAGATTACCTGATATTGTAATAATCGTTGATCAGAAAGAAGAATATACGACTCTACAAGAATGTATCTGTAACACCCCAATTCTACCCGACAATTAATATAAAAATCAGAGTTATAAAATTTCCGACAACCAAATCAGGATGCTACAATTACAACTTAAAACAACGACATTCATTGCAGATACATAACACATTAAACTGGAATGAACCAACCATAACATATTTTAATTTTTTAAACCAGCAACAGTCATAACTATGCAGCGGAATCATAATATTCGACTTAAAAGAAAATATCATCTCCATCCAAATGAAACAACTTCAAATAACAAATATTCAACGAACAACAACTTAAAGTTCAATCAAATGAAATAATCAACAATAAAACAGCAAGCGTTCATTCCCCCGAGTGTTACGTATTAGAGCAATGACACTGACTCAAACTACTGAAGGTAAATCGCCTTCACTCTGGATTACCTGCACGTTACCAACATCGGGGTAACATTCAAACATAAGGGGTGATATATCAAACAATATAATCGGATGTAAGATAAATATTAAAATAGAATTAGTCTATGCAAAATCACCACTTCGCAACTTTAAACGACATCAATCACAACAAAACTTCAATGAAACATAACAAATAATTTATCAACATAACAACTCTAATATGCAACGTGGAATACAACTTATTACTACGCACATTCATGTGGTACCAATGAAGCAGAACTCCCAACTTAGAAATCTTGCCAATTAATAGAGGCAGCAACAAGGCATAAGCCTTCAACTTAATATTTTGCCAATCCAGGCCAACTTAACGAGCATCAGCTCCAACATGATATGCCATATATGCGACAACATAATTAAATGCAACATCAACAACAACAACATATAACAACATTGGAATAAGCCTACAACTCAATAATTACCAATCAATAGAGGCAACACAACAAAATTCATCACATGTTACTTCAATAATTAATGACAACAACACAACAACTTACACATGCCAATAATGTTATTAACACGTTCCTACTAAAGTACTTCCACTAAATTATTCCGCGGATAAGACTTAGTAATAGTTTTCTGCTAAATTAATGAAGCTATTATTTACCTGCTACTTAAATTACCTCTACTTCTATTACTTCCATAAATTACTGCTACCAACAATTTTCATTATACTGCCTGCTATTACTAATTTTTTGATAACCTTCACTAACTCTGTTACTTATTAATATTACCTTCTATACTTATGCAATTCTACAAATTGTTCACTTCTGTTAATAATAAATAACCTCTACTATTAGTCATTCTTTCCTAACTCTGCTACACCTTTTTCTGTAACAAAATACTAAGTAACAGACATGCAAGACAGACACAGAAAATAATTAAAGAAAATAATGGCTGATGGTTTATGCCCCTCGGCATGCATAATCGTGCCCTTTGACACAAATCATGGTTCCGGTCGGCACCCTCTACCAACATACGTGTGCCGCTCGATACACGTCCATAATTCCAAAAAAGAACTTCATCCAGATTTCCTGCAATCAGTAATTCCTTTCCTTCCCATGATCTCATACCAACGCAACATGTGTTCACGGAAACATAACAACTATACCCACATCATCACATGATAATTTTCAACACTCGATTCATCGATTGAATCACTGCAATGTTAACACAATTACCACATATACCAAACAACAATTTATCCATACAACAATCACACACGACAACAGTTTTACACAACCCAATCCCCACGCAACATGCATCATAAATCCAATTATAGAGCCATAACCCTACCCTTACCTTGGATTGAAGGTTGCTCTATGATTTATCGATCGAACCCCGCTTTGCCTCTTTTCTTCTTTGCTCTGCAACTTCTACGTTCTCTTTCTCTCTTCCAACCCTTATTCTTCTTCTTCTTGACAAAAACCTATTTTTCTATTATTATAACTAAACTCAATAATAATAGAATTATTTCTATTTGGTTTAATTCTCACACCCCCTTAAAACTACATACCATCATATAAAGTAGGCCCACGCGAATATTCTATTAATTCCAACATTACTATTATTATTAATCAACCAATTAATTAATTAATAATAACCTAACAACTTATGCCAACAATCCACAACACCTCACAACTTCAACAAATAACTCGTAAATAATTTAATTAAGTAATTAATTAAATAAACGGGCGTTACAACTCTCTCCCACTTAGAATATTTTTATTCTCGAAAATTTACCTTATTGAAACAACTCAGGATAAGAGTCCCACATCTTGCTTTCCAACTCCCAAGTCATGCTTTCTCCGACAGCTCCTAGCCAAACTAATTTCACCAAAGCAATCTCTTTGCCTCTTAAAGTCTTCATTTCACGATCCGCGATTCGTACAGGCATCGTCTCCACAGTAAGATTATCCCATACTTGCATATCATCCATATGAATCACATGAGGTGGATCTGAAATATACTTCCGGAGTTGTGACACATGGAACACGTCATGCAAATTCGAAAGATTAGGCGGTAAAGCCACTCTATAAGCAACATTCCTAACTCTCTCAAAAATATGATACGGACCAATAAAACGAGAAGTGAGCTTCTTAGACTTAAACGCTCGCCCAACACCAGTCACATGTGTAACTCTCAAAAACACATGGTCACCTGCTTGAAATTCTAAATCTTTCCTTCACTTGTCATGATAACTCTTCTGTCTACTTTGGAAAGCTTTCATCTTATCTCGAATTAACTTCACCTTCTGTTTACTGTGGAAAATGGTAAACAACCGTTGGTCCTCTCAAAGTCCTAAACTGAGGGTAACTTGCGAGATCGACCAATTGATCTCAAGACGCGTGCTAAGAGTTTTTACTATCACACCTATTCCGTCGAAATATTAGTCAAGGGAGATGGTTTTCTTTTGACCGGGGGAACGGGTGTAATGGTTTTCCACACTATGATTTAATTGATTGACTGGTGACTCGTGACCGATAGAAGATATTCATACAAAGGCGAGACTCACTAAACTAACTGACTGGTGACTCGTGACCAACATATAGTGTCGAATTGTTTATGTAAAATAGAAGATAACGTATAGATCTTGCTCGACAGTAAAGAGAAAACATATAAAGTATTCAAAAGATATAATTGAAAGATAAAGTATTTGCATTGAAATAAAAATGGTGATTCACGTATATCAAGCACTCTTCACTCTTGATTTCCTGACGCTCGGAATGACAGAGTTTGACAAGTGATTTGAGAGTACAAGTGAACACACGCAAACTATACTAAATCTGCCTATTTATAGGGTTTACAATGTAACTACCTAGATAAAATCTACGGCTAATATTAACATCTTGAGGTAAATGCTTCAATATGTTGCCACCTATTTGGCGCTCAAACACATCGTGGATTGCTGGTAACTGCTCAGGATTTTGAAGTTCCACCTATTTGGCGCTTGAACACGTCGTGGATTGCTGGTAACCGCCCATGATTCCTCTAACCCTCTTGAAAGTAAACTGCTTCTGCCTTGCTTCGACACTTTCTTTCTGGAAAATAATAACCACACTTCCTCTAAGTCAAAGAAACCCTTTTTTTGTTGACTAAAACCATTTTCGACCAAGTCCTTGTCTTTTACCCTTTGGTCGACTAAACTAATTTTGACCTCTTGACATATGTTCTTTTATTTCTTCCTAGTCGACGTAGTTAGATTTTGACAGTTTCAGTGTGACTCCTTTCAAGCATTAACTCTAACTTAATAAAACCAACTTTTCAAACACTGGCCCTCGTTTCCCAGAAAAACCCTTATTTTGGAGGATGACTCTTAACTTATGAGAATATCTTCATTTACTACATGTACTTGAATACCTTAAGATTTTCCAAGGTAACACCTTCTTAGTAGTCTCACGAACAAGTTCAGGTCCAAGTACTACACTTTCTCCAGATTCATGCCAACATAAAGGAGTGTTACATCTTCGACCATACAACGCTTCAAAAGGTGCCATCCCAATACTAGAATGGTAACTGTTATTATAAGTGAACTCTATTAATAGAAGATAAGTGTCCCACAAACCTCCCTGCTCAAGAACACATGCTCTCAAAAATCCTCTAACGACTGAATAGTTCTTTCCGTCTGACCATCCGTCTTAGGATGCTACGCCGAACTCAACCTCAACTTAGAACCCAACGCCTCTTGCAAACTCTTCCAAAAATTAGACGTAAGATTTTCCAAGGTAACAAAATGCCCCCCAGAGATGCCATTTTCAAGTTTCCACTAATATGAGATAATGGCATCTCTACAGTTTCGAGACGTGTGACATTAATTTTTTGCCATCATTGCACTTTTAGTGGGAAACATGGCCCACTAACTCACGTTGATCTTGCGACACGCATCCCACAAACTGACGTGATTTGAACTTGGGAAATCACAAAAGATTTTTCCCATTATTTCCTCTTTCCCCAGGGTCTATAAATACCCTTATTTCTCATTTTTTCTATTTTTCTTCACTTCTTCAACCCTTGCTTTTAGAAAAAACCCAGAAACTACACACCATCGCTATTCTTCGTCTTCATCCTCCTTCAAACCTTTTACAATGGAGAATGTTAAAAATCAAACTTCCTCTTCAGCAATCGCTCTTCAACTGCGCCTTATCGACGATAAAGCTTATGTGCAGGAACCTCCATTTGCTGAGGAGAAAGCCAAAATTTGGAAATCTCAGGTACTTATCCCTTTCTCTCTTGAGGAGAAACCCTTAGCCTTTTTAGGACCACTTCCTGTTGATGCACCCTCAGAAATCTATGTAGATGATAAGGAGGCATTTTTTCCTACTAGTACTACTACCAGACCCATCACCTCTTCTCCAAACCCTATATTGCTTAAATATATTGACAAGAACTTTAGAACTGCTCCACCTCTGTGTTGCCCTAAATTTCGTGCTTGGATGGCACGTTTAGAAACTACCAAAGGAGACCAATGGAAAAGGATGGGTATTTATACCCTGCTAGAACTTTCTCGATGTGGTCAACCTTATTCTAGTGGCATGCTCATAACTGGCATATATTTCTGGGAGGGATCGACCAACACCTTTCATACTAAATGTGGTATGATCACTCCTACCCTGTGCGAAGTTGCTACCATCACATGGATAAAACCATCTGGCACAGTTTTCAACTATAGAGATGCTGAACTTGTGCCACTAAGGTTCGATGTGGGTGAAGCTGGAAATCCAACATATAATAATTTCATCGACCATCATTCTCAAACCTCTGGTCCGGTAACTGATGAAGAGCATGTGGCCTTTCTAACCTTATGGCTGTCTCGCTTTGTTTTTTGTTCCAGGTCAATGCACGTGGCCAAACAATTTTCTTATCTAGCTACCCAATTGCATATGGGTGAGAATGTTGCTTTAGGCCAACTGATTTTGGCCTCTCTCTATGCAGCTTTGACTGCTGCTTCTAACCAAATAAAGCGTTTTGACCCTAATAAACCAAAGAAAAGGAACGTCTTAGTCCATGGTCCTTTTTGGCTCTTGCAGCTATGGTTGAATGCCACTTTCTATGAGGAGATTAAGCCCTTTAGAAATAGAAAGGTAGCATGCCCTCCATCTCAAAGCCATATCCTTTGGCAACACCTTCTCACTCTGACTCCTATCAACAAGGGCTCCCCAAATCCTGAAGTCTTCAGACTGTTGTTTACCATTATGTTGACAAGAGTCGATTTCACACCCTTGATGGCCCTATTTCATGATAGACAAGATGGACCAGAGTGGTTTATTAGGGCTTTTCCACCTGCAAGAGAAGATTACAAGAAAAATTCCTTAATCCTCTAGAGGCGTTACTTGACCCCCCAATTCTTATCTACTGTGATTGTCGGTGTGAACCCGAGTTTGGCCGCTTATCATCCTAACTTGGTGGCTCGATAATTTAGACTCTATCAACTTATTCCTAAGTCTTTGTTCAATTCTCACGGGCTGCTGCTAGACATCATAATTGACCAACCCTTCGAAATGATCAAGGATGATATATGGAATCTATGGGCACGAATACCCACACTCACTCTCACTCCTTTCCAACCGTCTTTCTACTGCACCAAAGAATTTGAAACTTGGTGGCAGTCATATTTTGTTACATTCATTGGTGATTCTAATGCCAAGCTGACTGAACTAACTACAACTTTCTCAAATTTGCAGGCAAAAGCGACCAAGTGTAAGATTACCCATATTAAACAAATTCGATCTTTCCAGAATTACTTCTGAATCATGTATCGACCTATTGATCTTCGTCGGACCATCTATGAAGCCGCTTTTGAATTAAAGGAGAAGGTAGCCGATAGAATCTCGACACTAAAAATCCCTAATTATGCGAAAGATAAATATGTTTACGCTCTTCATTTTGGAAACATCAAATTTCCTCCTTTGCCTTCCAGCCCTTTGGCCTTGGCCTTTGGCCCACCTATTCCTGATTGGTGGTATTTCTCTATACAGGATATGCAAAATTCCTATAAGATAAAGGCCGACAGAGTGGTACCGATGAAGTATTACCTACCTAACTATTCAGGGCATCTTCATTATGATCTCCGATATGTTAGAGTACTTTCGACTACATAAATTGGTAACGATTTCTGGAAAGCTTACCGCCCAGCCTATTTTACTTTGGTTACTTATCTGATTGTTTTACACTTGTCTTACAACTATACCAATAGATTAGACGGGTGTCGTTCCTGTCGCCAAACAAAAACCTTCAACGCGTTAGGTTTAAACTTCAACTTTCTTCCAGCTATCATTCTTGATTTGGCATATCTGACTTAGCTTAATTTTGTAGATCATTCCTGACCATACATCCTCCGACTATGAACCCATTTCTTCTTCACTCAAGAAGGATTATTAGGTGGGTGTATTTATATACTTCTTGTTTCTATGTCGTTTACGCCCTAAACTTATATATTTATATTTTCCTTGTTTGCTAGAGTAAAAAATGCTCAGCGGGTTTGGCTGCTCCCTCTGACAAATCCAAAAGGTCCAAGAAGGACAAAGAGCATACTTCTGAGAGGGCTAAGGAAGATTCTGCCGATTCAAAACTTCCATTATCGACTAACACAATTGCTTCAACTTATATCTTTATTTGACACTTAGCCATCACTTGATGTTCAACCCTCTCAACACTCCCACAAATCCAAAAGCCGTAAGAGGAAAAAAGATTCCTCTACTAAAGGCGAGGTGGAGGAAAAGAAGAAGAAGACAAAGGTACCTGTATCCCAGGGTGATGAAGCAAAGGTTGGCTTGAAACTTGTTGATGAAATAGAGGAGCCAACTGATGTCGAAATTCCTCTTATTACAAGAAAGAGACGTAACATGGTCTTGATTGAAAATCCTGAAGCCATCTCAGATTTAGGTGCTGACACCATTGTGGTCGACACAATGCTGGTTACTCCAATTCGTGATCCTAGGGTTGATGAAGTTCAAAGCCCAATGAGAGAACTTACTGATGTTTCAGCTAAGGATGAGTTTGTCGATCTTAATCCGTTGACACAAGTATTAGCTGGTTGTTTTCTAGTTTTTTCTTCCCGTTTTTTGTTTGTTGAATTTGTTTTGGCTAATACCTTTTCTTGCTTTCTTTAGGTTAATATCTCTGGTCAACAACAACGTGTACCTGACTATACCCCTTTGTCAAAAGAGTCTTCCCCTCACCATCATGAGAATCTTGACATTGTTGATGGTGAGTTTATCGACCTGCCTATTTCGACTACTCTCAGTGACTCTGACTCAGTCACTAGTCCCGCCAAACATAAGGGTTATAGTTCGACTAGTTTTGATTCTAGCCTTTCAGATTCCCTGCAGGGTTCAGAAGAAAATAAAAATGTCACCACCTCCCGAATTCTGCCCCCTCCTGGAAGCACGCAAGGCGCGCCTCTCGTTTCTTCTGGGAGAACAAAGGTCAACTCACCCACTAAACAAAAACACATGGGGGTCAATCCTTCTGGTCTAGAAGAAATTTCTAGGTTGCGTCTCTTTGTGAGTTCTCGCACTCTTTCTTCTGACTCCAACCCATCTCAAGCATATAATGATAAGATGAGTCCTGAAGCAGTTAAAGCAAAAAATATGATGACCAAAATTCATACTTATGCTTTGAATCCTGATCCGCCTCATCTGCTCCATTCTGATCCAACTCTTGGCCAAAACTCTCAGACGCTCTTACTCAAATGAAAGAAATCAATATGTCTGAATCATCCAGGTTGATGATAACGACATTTGAGAAAATTTTCATTCCTCTACGCTAAATTGTTGAAAGTCTTCGGGTAAATGAGGAAGCGATTGAGTCGAAGGAAGCCTTCGTGAAAGAGAAGTTGGATATGGTGGTGCAAGTTACTGAAGAAATTAATGATTTGTTAGCAATGATTGAAAATAAGAAACATGAACTGATTCCCAAACAAAACAGAGCTGCTGAATACGTGACCAGATTTCTGCTCTCAACAAGTAATTAGAATTAACCGCCATGCAAGAGGAAGATATTAACAATGTGATTAATCCAACCCAAGAAAAAGATGAACAAATGGCTGTGGACACCGTGGATGTAAGTGACACGATTTCTTCTGTAAAAACAGAGCTTGAAACACTTAAGATTCAAGCATAAGGTTTTGAATATCATGCCACCAACCTCCATGGTGAACTGTGGTCATTCCAAGCCAAATTTAAGCATTTTTAATCATTGTACCAACAATCTTGTAATTTCTTCATGGCTTTAAGCCAAATTTTAACGAACCCTTTCTTTGTTTGTTTTATATGTATCTTCCATATTTTATGCGTGTTTTGAATTTTCTATTCTCAACAAAATTTTACCAGCTCGTTGGTTCGACGAATATTTATTCTTTCGAGATTTTGATTTCTTGAAGAATGGGCTTATACTTTTTTAAGTACTTGCCATTTACCCTTAAGACCCGTCGATCTGGGGCTAACTCCTCAAGCTCATAGGCATTATTTGAAAAAACTTGTATCACCTTAAAAGGTCCTTCCCAATTTGGGGACCATTTCCCTAAGACTATCATTTTTGTCCATAGGTAATATCACTTTCCATACTAGATCATTGACAGCAAATACTTTATCCTTTACTTTTTTGTTATAAACTCTGGCAACTCTTTCTTTCTGTCTTATTAACGAATCAAGGGCCAACATCTTTTCTTCATCTATGTCGACAAGCTCGTCTGCCATCATATTCCAGTAATCCTCAGATGGTATTTCATGTTGTTTTAGGATTCTTATCGATTGAACATGTATCTCCACTGGTAACATTGCATCATGCCCATATGCGAGTCGAAATGGAGTAGTTCCTGTTGCTTCCTTAGAGGAATTTCTACACGCCCATAAGGCTTGATCCAATGTTTTATGCCAATTCCTTGGCTTCTTTCCTACATTCTTCTTAATTATGCTAATTATCACTTTATTGGCAGCTTCGACTTAGCCATTTGCTTGCGCATAGTAAGGAGTAGAATTTAACAATTTAATTCCAACTTCTTGCGTAAATTCTTGCATTTTTCGTCCAGTAAACACTGATCCTTGGTCGGTCATAATTGTTTCTGGAATTCTAAACCGACAGGTGATGTGATTTTGTATAAAATCAATAATAGCTTCTTGGTCGATGTTAGTTAAAGCTACTGCCTCCACCCATTTTGTAAAGTAATCAATCCCGACTAAAATATATCTTTTCTGTTTTGATGATGCTGGTTTTATTTCTCCAATCACATCTAAAGCCCATCCTCTAAACGGACAAGGCTTTATAACTGCATGTAATTCACTTGCAGGGACATGTTGTATGCCCCCATGCATTTGGCACTCTCGGCAACCTTTAGCAAATTCAATGCAATCTTTTAGCATTGAAGGCCAATAGATGCCTGAATGCAGTAAAAGCCATTTCATTTTGTGTCCTGCTTGATGTGCACCACATGCTCCACTATGCACACTTGACACTGCCACGTATGCCTCACTTTCTCCAAGGCATTTTAACAAAACTCCTTCAACAGTTTTCTTAAATAATTCATTCTCTATCAAAACATAACTGAGAGCGTGATACTTGATCTTACGATCTGTCGACCCCATGGGGATGCGCAGATAGTTAGCCAATGGCTTTCGCCAGTCATTCTATTGTCCATTGTCAATGGTTAAAATTTGAAATTTTTTGGCATCTATAGCCCCTAACTTTACAATCGACAAATCTGAAAAGGATAACAAAGTTGCTCGAACTTTCTCTCTTACTTGGGTAAGTTCTTCATTTTGATCTCTCTTGTATCTCGAGGCTTCTTGTGCTAGGTCATTAGCCTTTTCGTTCTCTGTTTGAGGTATGTGTCGAATAATTACTTGTTTAAATTGTTTTAATAATATGATGGTAATCACAAAATACACGATTAAATTTTCTTTAACACATTTGTGCTCCTTTGATACTTTTTTAATCACTAATTCAGAGTCTCCCGTAATTTCGACGTTCCTTGCCCCCAGATCAAGCAGTAGTTCAAGTCTTGTTATTAAAGACTCGTATTCTGCTTCATTCTTTGTGCATATACCGTCGATTTTATACTTGAACTCTGCTGGAATTCCACTGGGAGAAATTATAATTCCTCCTATTCCAACTCCATTCTTATGGATCGAACCATCAAAGTATAATTTCAATGGCACTAAATCTACATAATTTTAAGGTATACCAACCATTGAATGGTTGACCAAAAAATCTGCCACTACTTGTCCTTTCATTGCTTTTAAGGGCATGTAAGTCAGAGAATACTCTTTTAGTGCTAAAGCCCATTTACCAATTCAACTATGTAAAATTGGTTTGGATAACATGT